AAGTCAAGATTGGGAACTAGGTCTCTCTGGTTCCAGAGATTATATATTTATTCAGTAGTCCAGGCAGCCAAAATCAGACTGTCAGTTCATTTAAAAATTGCCATGTGCCAAATGGGTGAAATTGGGTAATTCTGTGCCATTTATTCAGGCATTTAAAAATTATTATTCACAGTCAAGGTTCAACTAATGAAGTCTGCTTATTATTCATTGTGTCTATACCTCTATCCTAAGGAAAATATATATTTTTTTCTCTATATATAATATGGATATATGTGTGGATATATATGTGTATATGTATGGGCAGGGCTGTGTTTCCCAACAAAACTTTATTCATAGAAACAAAGGGCAGGCTGCATTTGGCCCGTGGCCATAGGAGGCCAAGGCCTGGTGTAAAGCGTGTCTAATTGTAGGCACAGATTCTGTTACATCTCTAAAGAGAAAGGTTATGTTGGCTGTATATAGTTCCTTTTTTAAGGCATTCAATAAATGATATTTTCCACAGTGAAGCCTTTGGTCTCAAATTCATTGTAGCATACCATATAATTTTTCAACTATGTTATATTAGCTATTAGAGTTTTTAAAGCATAAAATTTTCCTAAATGTGTTAAACTAACTCAGTGTACCATTTTTGATCGGCTTCCAATGAAATTCTAACTTTATGGAATCTTATTTTTGTCCATTTTGCATCTCTGAGCCATATCACGTTTTTTAGGTTTTTTTTTAATTATGGTAAAATATACATAACAAAATTAACCATTTTGACCATTTTATTTTCTAATCCCCACTCGAGGGCATTTTTTTTTCAGTGTTTTTAGCAGGGAAAGGAGAAGGAGAGAAAGAAACATTGATGTGAGAAAGAAACATCAATTGGTTGCCTCCAGGCACATCCCAGTCAGAGATTGAACCCCCAACCTAGGCATGTGCCCTGACTGGGAATCAAACCAACAACCCTGCAGTTTATAGAACGTTTAGTGTACAGTTCGGCGGCATTGGGTACATTTGCATGGTTCTCATCACCTCTAATTAACTCAGTAAACACTGATTCCCCATTCCGTCTTTCCCCAACTCCTGGCAAGCACTGTTCTATCTTCTGTCTCTATGAACTTGACTATTCTAGGTACTTCATATAAGCGGAATTATACAATATCTGTACTTTTGTGTCTGGCTTATTTCACTTAGCATAGTGTCTTAATGGTTCATCCATGTTGTAGCACATGTCCGAATTTCCTTCCTTTTTTAAGGCTTGGTAATATCCCATTGTGTACATAAACCACATTTTGTTTACCCATTCATGAGGCAGTGGACATTGGGCTTGTTCCCACCTGTTGGCTATTGGAAATAAGAATGTTATGGCCATTGGTGTACGAATATCTGGTAGAGTCCCAGTTTTCTATTCTTCTGGGTCTGTACCCTGTGGGGGAATTGGTAGATCCCATGTTAATTGCATGTTGGAGTTTCTGAGGAGCAGCTGCAATTGGCCTGTTGGCTGCAACAGCTGGGCCATTTTACACCCCCACCAGCAAAGCCCGAGTGTTCCAGTTTTCCACATTCTTTCCAACACACATTTTCGGTGTTTGAAAAATAATAGCCATGCTAATGGGTGCAAAGTGATATCTCATTGTGGTTCACACTTGTTTTTTATGTCAGTGTTTGTAGTTCATGTAATATAGTTCAGAGACTGCCTTAATTAACATCTGCTGCAAATGAGATTTATACATATCTGTGTGTGTGTGCGTGCATTCCTCTCCTAGCTGTACAATTATGTGAGGTGGATTTAAAGAATGTGCAAACAATAAGATTGATATTATAAATAGCTAAATTTTTGGCACTGGGAATATAAAAGACTAAAAAAGAAAAAAGTAAAACTAGAGCCACAATTTGATGAGCTTGAAAATGTGTTGAAATGTCCTATGCCTGTCCTAAAACTTCCTAATGACCAAAGAGACGAGGGAAAGAAGGCCAGGGATGTGATTCATTTATTTCAAGTGATGGACATTCAGGGAAAAAAGACTTTTCTTGGCTCATAGATATAAGAAATAAGCTGTAACTATTTTTAATAAGATGGTTATGCTACTGATATCAGAAGATTTCAGACTAAAAGTGAACAGAATTTTTGGTGACTCTAATGGGGATAGAATTGGGAATGACTCCCATAGTCTGACCTTTTCTGTGTGCTGTAGACTTATAAGACTTTTCTGTGTGGTGTACAATGACAGTTTCTGAGTACAGTTGGGGAAACAAGAAGTCATCGCTCCATGTCGTGGCAGAGTGATGGTTCTGTGTGCTCCTTTGTCCTCAGTGGTGTAACAGTGCAACACTTAAGATCTTGAATTGCCTCAACATGTTTTTATGTGTATTTAGCAGTTTCTTCCCAGGACAAAGATTATAAACACATAAAAGTGTTCATACAAATAATGGTCTTGAGAATATATCCTATCTTCCATTTGAAAGGAGGAAAAGATCTTCATATTCAAATCTGATATTGAAATCTGTGTTCCATCTTGAAATTACAGATTTCAAGAATTTAATTACAGATTCAATAACTAATGTATCGTTTTCAAATGTATGCTAAAAAGACCTTCAGGATAACTGGATATGTTGTCAAACCAGCTTTCAAGCACTTGAACAGCAAAGAAATAAAAAAGAATAGAAGCTATATCAAACAGATGCTTTTAAAGCACTGACAAAATGTCAGAATTTATCTAAATTTGAGAGAGTCGGTCTAAAGTTTTACCCAGAAGTTTGGATAAAAGATAATAATGACATTTCCTGAGCATTTCCAGTGTTCTGAGCAGAGTTCAAAGTGCTGTGTATATTTGAAGTCACTCCTCTAAACTTAATACCATCATCAACATTTCCCTTTTGTAGATGAGGAAACTGAGCATAGAGCAACTAAGTGTCTTTGCTTCAGGTCATACGACCGGGAAGTGTGCGAGCTAAGATTCACGCACAACTGGGCAGCCTGGCTCCAGGGGCCATGCCGCATGCCCCCCCTAAGCCACTCTGCATCTTGTTGTTACAGCAGATAGACCAGAGAAGAATTGCTTTGGCCAATCAGCAAATAAACATCTCAGGTTTCTGTTCTGTCGTTACAAGTTGGTTTTGTTTTTTTCTTTAGATAAATGTAATTGTCCTTAAAATTTCCTTTAATATTATTGTATACAATTCCTAGTGGTATATATATTTTTAAATATGATGCTGCAGGTTCTTAAACGATGAAACCTTAGCAGTCATTGATTTTTATATGTTTACAAGAGTTTTAAGACCATGGAGGAATGCTTATAAAATAAAATAAAGCAGCAGGATATGAATTTGTTACAAGCCAAACTCTACCCACCCACCCCTAAAAACCTATTTTAAAAAAAGATAGGAAAGTATAATTTGGGCCATCAGAATTCTGCTTTTGGAAAAGCAGAATTAGAAATGACTTCTTATTTACTTTTATTAACTTTCCATAAAATTTACTTGAATACTTTTGTAGTTCAAAAAATAACTTCCTTTTTCAGCCCTGGCTGGTGTAACTCAGTGGACTGAGCGTGGGCTGGGAGCCAAAGGGTCACCAGTTCCATTCCCAGTCAGGGCATATGCCTGGGTTGCAGGCCAGATCCCCAGTAGGGGATCGCGTGAGAGGCAACCACACATTGATGTTTCTCTCCCTCTTTCTCCTTCCCTTCCCTTCTCTCTAAAAATAAATACATAAAATCTTAAAAAAAAAAAAAAACCTTCCTTTTCAAAAGGCCAACCAAGAGCTTTTCATTACAAAAGGCACAGTATGCCACTCCTAGCAATAATCTTATTGTATAATTTACAGTCATTGCCACTGCCACTGGGGGAAAAAGATTAAAAATAATCATTTCCACAGACCTCTGAGCTGCATGCGTGAAGGTGGCGCAGTTTGGACCTGTCATGTGAGATTCTAAATTAATTAACTCAGTGTATGGGTCGTGCCAGCCCCATTGCAAGTGGTCAGTAGCCGCCAGTGGCTTGTGAGCTTTTCCATCCTCACTGCAAGTTCTGTGGCACAGCACTGATTTAGAAGAACACAGAATCTGGAGTTAGACAAGTTGGAATCAAGTTGGTACTAGCTGATATTTGCTATGTGAAACAGGCAATTTAGCCTGCCTCTCTGAGTTTACTTTCCCCACAGAAACTGGGGGGAATGATAATAAAACTGGGACTAATGATAATATCACTTACCATGTAAGGCAGTTAAGATCAAATAAGATAATGCATGTGACACTTCTCTGAAAACTATAGTGTGGTTTACCAGCTAGCTGCGGCTTCCCACGTCTCCCAGTTTGAACTTAATCTCTTTGTGGACTGACTGTAAATCCATGAATGATAGGTACCAGGGTTTTGCTTGAATGGCATCATTAAAATCACAGTATGCTTGCTCTCTACCACAGCTCTTAGGCCAAGTCCTTGGCAATGTGGACGTTACATTTCTTCCTTGTAAAAAGCTTCGGCCTACAGCTCTGTATCTATTTTGTATAACATCTGTTATTCTTAACAACATAAATACATTGCTTTATTTCCAATCTTAAATGAAAAAGACTGTCTTTAAAAAGAAAGCAAAGAGGCTTTGTCTGCCAAGGAAATAAATGGGGGTTAAATGCCACAACTAAAAAAAAAATCTATCTGAGTTGACAGTGCAGGAATTAAGTCAAAGATGTTGTCATTTGCTGCAGGAACATGAGGTTTTCACTGACAATTACAGCAGGCTCTTTGTGCTTCAAAGCTGATTAAGCGGAAGTACTTGCTCATTCATTTTCAATTTTTTCCGAGTCACTTCCGGTTTTTCGTGCAAAACCAGTTGAGTAATTTAGACTATTTTAGAGCTGCTGCACTTCCAGAGCGGTCTCCATCTTAGTTCTCATTTAACCACCTGATGGATAAGCATGTGTTGTATGTCATCAGAGAAGGGGGGTGCGGGGGAGGGAGTCAGGTTCTGGCTCCACTCGGTGCAGATTCCACACTCACCCTCCCTCTGCCTCCCTTAGGTCTCCACCAGCCGTGGATGCCTTTGACATTATGACTGCAGAAGACTCCACCGCAGCCATGAGCAGCGACTCGGCCCCTGCGTCCATGGCCAAGGTGCCCGAGGGCGTGGCCGGCGCGCCCAACGAGGCGGCGCTGCTGGCGCTGCTGGCGCGCACGGGCTACACCATGGCGCAGGAGAACGGGCAGCGCAAGTACGGCGGCCCGCCGCCCGGCTGGGAGGGCCCGCACCCGCAGCGCGGCTGCGAGGTCTTCGTGGGCAAGATCCCGCGCGACGTGTACGAGGACGAGCTGGTGCCCGTGTTCGAGACCGTGGGCCGCATCTACGAGCTGCGCCTCATGATGGACTTCGACGGCAAGAACCGGGGCTATGCCTTCGTCATGTACTGCCACAAGAATGAGGCCAAGCGTGCCGTGCGCGAGCTCAACAACTACGAGATCCGCCCGGGCCGTCTGCTCGGCGTGTGCTGCAGCGTGGACAACTGCCGCCTCTTCATCGGAGGCATTCCCAAGATGAAGAAGCGTGAGGAGATCCTGGAGGAGATCGCCAAGGTCACCGAGGGCGTGCTCGACGTGATCGTCTACGCCAGCGCCGCCGACAAGATGAAAAACCGCGGCTTCGCCTTCGTGGAGTACGAGAGCCACCGGGCTGCGGCCATGGCACGCCGCAAGCTCATGCCCGGCCGCATCCAGCTGTGGGGCCACCAGATCGCGGTGGATTGGGCCGAGCCTGAGATCGACGTGGACGAGGACGTGATGGAGACCGTGAAGATCCTGTATGTGCGGAACCTCATGATGGAGACCACAGAGGACACCATCAAGAAAATCTTTGGCCAGTTCAACCCAGGCTGCGTGGAGCGCGTCAAGAAGATCCGCGACTACGCCTTCGTGCACTTCGCCAGCCGGGAGGACGCCGTGCACGCCATGAAGAAACTCAATGGCACGGACCTGGAGGGCTCGTGCCTGGAGGTGACGCTGGCCAAGCCGGTGGACAAGGAGCAGTACTCCCGCTACCAGAAAGCGGCCAAGGGCGGCGGGGTGGCCGAGGGGGCTGCTGTGCAGCCACCCGGCTACGTGTACTCTTGCGACCCCTACACGCTGGCCTACTATAGCTACCCCTACAACACGCTCATCGGGCCCAACAGGGACTACTTCATGAAAGGTTAGTGGGGGCAGTTCTCCTGGGCAGGCCCCCGAGAGCCATGTCTGCTAGGTGGGCTAGGTCAGGGGCGTTGTGGCTGTAACTGAGTTGGTGGACCCGACCCCCTACCCACCCTCATTTGGGTGTCAGTTCTGGGTTCTGTTCTTTGCTGTCACTTAAGACATTCACTTCTATAGCATTGAGAGAAATGCGGATCCTTCCTACCTATGGAATGAGCAGTAAAATGATGGGAGCGAGCAAGCTCTTTTGCATGCCGCCTTTCCAAGACATACCCAGTTAGGACCTGAAACCTGCTTGTGAAATGGTATCTTTAGAGTGTTGGGGGAGTAGAGGGCAGAATATTATCGGTTTGCTTTTTTGTTTGTTTTTAAGTCATTGGCTAGGGTACGATAAAACAGTGTTACACTGGGAAACAAAATACCAAGATTCTGGGTTCTGCTCACTCAGTGACCAGCTCTTTTGAGTTTGTGAGTTCACTCAGTCTCCTCACCCTCCCTAGGGCTGTTTTCTCACGCATAAAATGAGGAAGGTAACGAGCAGTTCCTTTCCAGTTCTAACATTTTTACAGTCTATGATGTTTTTCTTTATTGAAGTTGCAGTTGCAATCCTGGGAACTCACCCTGCAAGGTGATGCCTTGCAACAGAGAGCAGACATACTTAGGGTGCAAATGGAGACTGGAGTAAAATGTTTGAAGTGTCTCTCCCAGCTCACTGAAGAGCAGAGGTGTATTTAGTCCCCTGCAGCCGTAGACTCCAGGCAAACCCCAGAAGGCAAAAACCTTGAGTTAGGGTCTGTCCCCTGTACTATCGCTGGTGTTTGCTCATCATTTTTTGTATGTTGTTATTATAAGCAGGCAGCCTAAGAGGCCGGGGTCGAGGTGCGGCTGGCAACAGAGCCCCAGGGCCCAGGGGTTCCTACCTCGGGGGATATTCTGCTGGCCGTGGTATATACAGCCGATACCATGAAGGGAAAGGAAAGCAGCAAGAAAAAGGATATGAACTTGTACCGAATTTGGAAATCTCTACTGTCAATCCAGTTGCCATTAAACCTGGTACAGGTCAGTATAAACCAGAGCAAGAATGCATCCATTCAGCTTAAACCCCAACCCACTCTTCAAAGTGACCCCGAGGCTACCTTCGGCTCTTGGACTCAGGTTCATCTTCTCGTAGGCAGCCAGAGATGAGGCAAACAATGTGGCCTCCTGGCTGTTCTTAATCTGGAACTTAAAAGGATGGTCTAGTTTTGACCTTGTTCAAGTCGAACTTTCCAGTAGTGTGTTTTTCAAATGTGTGTCACTAGTTATGAGGCTTTTTTTCCCAGTGTATGACTGAGTAGACCGAGTCAGGGATGAGGGGGGCGTGGGCAATGGAAGAATATAAGGCTCCTCTATATCTTCTATCAGCTAAAAACTGTCTGTTCCTTACTCAAGTCAATTTCTACTCCAGCCATCAGAAGCCAGAGGATGCAGCTCACTGCCATTCTGGGAGTGTAGAAAATTCCCCTTCTGGAGCAAATAGCACCACTTGTCCCTTGTCATGAACTTAACACACCTGAAACACCTAGGAACAAGGGAACCAAGGCAGTGGTGAAAGTTTTTGCAGCTACTTACTGCCTGGATTTCTCCCAGAGCTCACTTCCTCCTCTTTTTGGATCAATAGATTGGAGTTTGGGGGTACTGAAGTGACTCAGACCGGGGCCTGGAACTTGGCTTTCACTTCCAGGCCTCACGAACCAGTTTGCCAGTGTTGTCAGTGCACACTGATGAGACAGGTCTTCCTTCTGACCCTACCCTGCAGGGAACTCACCTCCACTGTGTGAGCACAGCAAGAACTCCCTGTTAGCACACACCATGCAAAATCCAGTTGTGATAATCACAGCGGTCCTCCTCCAGACACCTTCCTGGTGTCACGGAGGTAGACTGAAGAGCTCTTCCAGAGAATCCTCACTTTGAGTTCATGAGTTTCATCTGGTTGAAGAGTGCATGCGCCTTTTAGCTAACAGCCAAGGGATCTACACTTTTGGGCATGGGTTTGCATAGGCCATGTAGGGCTTAAAAGTGTTTTCCCAGCAGAGATTCCTTTTGAATTAATTCAGTGATAGGATTTGGGGTTTTCGATTTTGGGGAGAAGGTTGTTTATTTTTTTGTTGATGGTTTTTCGGGTTTTTGTTGTTGTTTGTTTTGGGGTTTTTTGCTTGTGAAAAAATTCTGCAGTTTCTGCAAGTAACTGGATTTACTGCAAGTAACTGGATTTTCTGCAGTTTCTGCAGTTTCAGACTGGATTTCCTCGTAAATGCCACTGACGTTAGAAGCACTGTAAAACTGATCCCGTATCACTCTAACTCCATAAAACAGAGCCTGGAAACCGGAGCTGTTGCTTCCACGTCTTGGAAAAGGGTCTCCTGTTGGCAAGTTGCAGTGGCTTAAAATTTAACTAGGGGAAAGAACTTTTAAACCATCCTCAAGTACATAGTGGTGTCCTGGGCCCTGAGGTAGAAATTCCTGGGGGCTGACAACCAGAACAATCCCGAGTTACTTAGTACAACCCCAGTGTAGCTAAAACTCATAATCCTCTCCAGGTCCCTTCCCCTTTGCCTCTATTTCTGTTTGATCCAGGAAATTGGAACTTTTTATTTTAAGAGAACCACCAGCATAGTGGTGAAGTGTCTAGGTGCAAGGCTGTGCGGTTGGAAAGGCGGGTTAAAGATTTGGTTGAAGTTTTTAGGCAGATTTTATTGAACGGCCGTGCCATTGTTCATCCTACAGTCAAATTTGTCTCTTTACTTGATCTGAAGTCAGCTTTTATGAGCACAAATATACCTCCACTTGGAGAAAACCCAGAAATGAAAGGACATTTTGTGTATACACTTCATATTCTTGCCTCTTCTCTCAACACACACCACACACACACCCAGACTTCCCCAAACCAGGGCTAGTATTTTTTTCTTTTTACCTTTCTTTATCATACACTGACATTCAGTAACTCCTCTCTGGTTGAATCTCTGGTGTAAATGAGCCCTTCAGACCTCATTCACAGGAACACCTCTTTGAATTGTCAGGTCCATCAACAAACCAGTCCCTACTGCTTTGCTGTTACGAGTGGACACTGCAAAATTAGGGAATCTTTCCCTTTTTATTGTGTAGTTTTTCTCGCATTGGTAATGTTGAAGTCTGAAACACAGGGTGGGGAAGATGTACGTAGACCTCTGAGTTCTCAGAACGAAACCTTCAACAGCACCTGCTTCTCAAAACGTGGTGAAAGTGAAAAGGGCCGCAGGTCTGCTGATGAGCGGTGAGTGAGGAGGGAGGCCTGCTCTCACGGTGGCTGGGCCTCAAGCCTCTGATCTCACTTCTCATTCTGAGCCCGCTTTCACAGTTAGAAGGCTCGTTCTCGCTCTGGAGGACATCAAGAGTGAGGTTCGAGAGATTTTCCTGCAGAAGCTGTAGGAAATGGTGTAGAAACCTGACTCTAGATTTTTCTTCCATGATGATCTATTGGGAGCTTCCCTCCATACCCACGTGGTTCCTTGTGAAAGACGAGCAGGGGGAGTACCTGCCACCTCCCCTCTCTTCCTTACCTGCACTGGGAAAGCACAGGTTAGCAGGGAACAGCCCAAACTGCTCTTTTTTTTTTTTAATTGGGAAAGTAATGGACCGGTTTCTCCCTCTCACTTGTCTTGCAGTGGCCATCCCTGCCATCGGGGCCCAGTACTCCATGTTTCAGGCAGCTCCCGCTCCTAAAATGATCGAAGACGGCAAAATCCACGCAATGGAGCACATGATCGGCCCCATCGCGGTGCAGCCCGACCCAGCCAGCGCTGCCGCCGCTGCTGCCGTCATTCCTGCGGTAACAACACCGCCGCCTTTCCAGGTAGAGTTCCTGCTGCCGTCGTTGCCTTTTGTGAGTGAGGCCTCCCTTGTCATGGGTTCACTTACTGTTCAGCAGGGGAATTCATGGTGTGCCCAGCTTTCTGTTGGAACTGTGGAATCAGGGACCAAAAATTTTTAATATACCTCATGACAGGATAAAAAAAATTTAAATAATAATCATACTACCCTAATATTATCACTGTATTATTTACCACTGTATTAAAGATGGGAAGCAACATGCAAACGTGACACGTGTGATTTCTCAGTGTCATAATGTTGCACTTACTTTTCTTTATGACCCTGGGTCATTTTTAAGTCATGTTCTGATTGTTAAGGTGCTGACGGCCGAGTCCAGGCTGAGAGTTCTCATTTTCCCAGTCCAACTGCAGTCCCGGGAAGATTGGTTTTTAAAAACTCTCTCACGTGCTCTCTCTCTCCTTCTCATGCATTATCTCACTCTTTCTGAATATATACATATGTATATATGTATACATATATAAGCATGTATATACATGGAGCAAGACATAGCTATAGGGATATGTGAAATTTTATAAAATCTGCCCTTAGTCACCTCCAGTCATACTCAGCTGTTCCCCAAAACTCTCCCGGTCCAGTCCGGCCATTCCACCTTCCTCCTCCACGTCCTCTCGTGGCATCCTCTCACCTGTGGTTTCCTCCTTCTCATCTCTTCTCCACAGAAGAGATGAGAAAGAGAAAGATTCCACATCTTGCCCGTGCACCTAGCCTTGGAAATCATCTCTCCTGCACTTCTCATTACCTACATTATTGCTTGGCGTGTGACGGTATGTTCCATCTCCCCCATTAAAATGAAGCCCTGATCAGTATGGCTCAGTTGGTTGGGGTTGGTCAGTATTACGCAAAGTGAAAGGTCTCCGGTTCAATTCTCGGTCAGGGCACATGCCTGGGTTGCAGGCTCGGTCCCAATTCGGAGCACGTGCAAGAAGCACCCAGTCAGTTTCTCTCCCACATCACTGTCTCCCTCTCTCCCTCCCTCCCTTCCCCTCTCTCTAAAAATAAAAAGAAAAGAAAATCTTTTAAAAGAGAAATAAAATAAAATGAAGCTCTTCCAGACCAAGAGCCACACCTTATATCTCTTTATCTTCAGTGTGTAGCATTCTTTGTGAGTCAGTGAATCTCAAATACCCCGAACCCTCAGGCCTGAGTCCCTTGTCTAACTGGGTAAGAATTATCGGAGGAACAGAGATTCTTAGACTCAGAGGATTACAGTTCACAGGACTGAGCCGGGGTTCTAGAATCCCCATTTCGGTACAGGCTCCTTGGAGATGCTGACACAGAGCCAGTCTTGGGAACCCTGCAGTGGGTTGCTGTCTACTTTGCATTTGCCCACTTGGGCACCAGTCTTGACTGCATTATTCAGAAAGGTTAAAGTTTTTTCATCTGCAAATAAGTCATCAAGTAGTCTTTAACTGGGGACTTCCTACAGCCAAAGAAGGAAAAGGCTGTAATTGATTCACATTGTGGAATGACAGCTGAGTGTCATTACTTCTTGCGGGCTGTAAATATCTACAGGAACCTGCAACTCCTTGATGGAATCCTGGTTATAATGTCTAATTCCTCTTTACTGAGGAATTTGTGAACTCCGTCTTTGGCATGGAGCACGGGTTCTGGTCAGACCCGAACTCCAGGCCTTGCAATCTGTCTGAACAGCAGCCTGCTACTGTGTTGTCCGTCTGTGGTGGCTGTCACCATCAGGGTCTTTATTGGAAGTCTTTGTTTAAGAATTTGCTCAGTATACAATCATCAGTTGGTTCCTTGGGAGAATTTTCTCTCCTTCAACATGTTCTGCAAAATGCCTGGTGCTTCCTTTTCATCCTGGGAATGGTTTTTGTGAGTGGCTTTGGCTCTGGTACGATCCCTCAAATCTGCACTCTGTGTCTGAGGTCTTTGCCCCTGAGGAGGACGCATTTTAAGCACTACTGCTTGGTGACTGGAACACAGTTCTGAGTGGAAACAAGTCCCCATCTTCCTATGGGACACCTTCAGTCACCCTCTGTCTTCCAAGTGCCCAAAATGTTCCTGCGTAGCCATTTTATATCCAACATTTCATGTAGCCTTAATAAGCGATACAGAAACTGTTTGCTGGTGTAGACAGCCCTTCCTGAGAGGAGAGAAAACCGAGGTCCACGTGCCCCTGCCCATCTTGCACACCGGAGCCCAGGGGTGGGGCTGGACTATAGCACACAGAAGGGGTCCTGTCTGGTGTCACCTTCCCTGAAATGACCTCCCCTAGTGCATTTGCCATTAAGTGTATGTCCACACATTTAGAAAAGATCGTTTTTATCTCGCTGGGAGCCACAGTATTCCCAGTTCCAAAGTTCCTCTCCCTGGTTGTAAAATGAGATATTCATCGTTACAGGTTGTAGAAGGCAAGATAATGTAGGCTTTTAAAAGTGCAGGCTCCAGAGTCACAAAGCTGTTTCACCTTGTGCAGGTCACTTAGCACATCCGAACCTGCCCATGAAATCATAGTGCCAGCTTCATTAGTGGTTAGAATGACTCAATAATGTCATACAAACGAGGCACTTAGAACCGTGTCTGGTAGACTATGATCTTTCAGTTCTTATTATTGGGGTAATTATTATTTTGGTTACAGTTGAAAAAAATGACTCAGGTTATGAAGTTCCTTTGAGCATAATTTTGCAACTCTGATCTGCAGATTCTGTGGAGGAATGATAACTTCTTCCTTTACAAAAATCCAGGAGGAGATCATTTTTAAACTCTAACTCTCCATGTCATATATCCTGCATGGTTTGTTTGATGCTGCATTAAGACATAGAGACCACAGCAGCAATTGCAGCAGATACGTCGTTAAACGTATGCCTTCACCCAAAATCCCCTTCTCCGTTGCGGACACTTTGGGAAATACTAAACCACAGTGCTCCCTCTCTGCTCCTTTGCACTCTGAAAACACAGCGTGTTAAACTTGCAAGTAGGGAGGAGGAAGTAGCAGGGGCTTTTGCAGTCAGTGGGGTGTCGACCTGAACAAGGTCGTGGTGAACAAGCGTCAGTTAGCTTGTTCTTCTTCCCCTTCCTCCTCCCACCAAAGCTGCTCCTCGGCCTTTAAAACCCGGCTGAAATGCCCCCTCTTCTGAGATGCCGCCTCTAACTTCTCAGGTTTCGTGGTCCCTTCTGACGGTGTCTGGCAACCATTGGTGTGTACAGTGGTGTTATATCCTAGGTGGGAGATGCTCAAAACCATTACATTTGTGGAAAATTGTGAATGGTCACACTAATTTTAGGAACAGCTTGAGAAGCCGCCCCTTTGGAGATCTGCAAACTTTGTTCTGTACAGTTGCCAGCCTGTCTCTTTGAAGGACTGTGTTTCTTCAGTTAAGTGTGAGTTGAGGCAGCTGACACGTCTGTTAGGTCCCCGTGTTAGGAAAATGTCTAATTACAATGAGATGACTAAGTAAAGGATAGATTGTTGACTCCCTTCTCTAGCCCCGCCCCCCCCAGGGCATAGGCTGATTAGATGAAGGTGGCTAACATTCAGCCTCCTTTAGCATCTAGTTGTCCGACTCTCACCTGTTGAAGTTGAATGAGCCTTGAGAATGCAACTCCACCTAACCATAATGGCTCTTTTCACGTGCCCTTTAAACAAATAATTGTTCGTTGCTTATCCTTCCCCCTCCCTGCCCTGCCCTGCGAGGGGAGGCCTTTGTTTGTACTTCTGGAAGTTCAAGGAAGCAGTGAATGCAGTGGTTGAATGAACGGAGGACAACACGGGAGAGAGCCAGTGATCAGTAAGCATCGTTTTTTCTCTCTCCTCCTCAGGGCCGCCCAATAACTCCGGTCTACACCGTGGCTCCAAACGTGCAAAGAATCCCCGCTGCCGGGATCTACGGGGCCAGTTACGTTCCCTTTGCTGCTCCGGCCACGGCCACGATCGCCACACTACAGAAGAACGCAGCCGCGGCCGCCGCGGTCTACGGAGGGTACGCAGGCTACATACCTCAGGCCTTCCCTGCAGCTGCCATCCAGGTCCCCATTCACGACGTCTACCAGACGTACTGATCTCGGGGGCGCGCGGAGGCCGCCTGGGAGACCACCACTGAAGGACCACTTACTATTTATGAAGAAAGAACATGGGGGCTTGGCGCACACGCGAAACCTGAAAGTGAAGAATGTAATCCAGTATCATCCAAAAATATTTTATATACATGAAGTTTTCACTCGTTTTTTAAGACTGTTTTCAAGGTAGCAGGCCTATGTTCGTACATTTCCAAGAGGCTCGCACAGGTTCGTGCCTTAATGACCATCTCTGAAACCTTTGTATGCTGTAGTCCGTTTGTATAGAGGTTTTTGTTTTTGTATTTTTTAAGGATATATTTTCAGTATGAAGGTTATTTTCTTAACTTCTGCACTCCAGAGATTTCTATTTTGTAGTACCTTCAGTAATATATCAACTATATATTAAAAAGCACACTTGAGCAGCTAGGGAAGCATTTTGAAAAGTATAGTCAATATTTAAAGATACAAACAGTAGTGCTTTAAAATACTACAGAAAATGTTATTTTAAAAACTATACTGGAAAGTGCAATTTTAAAATGAGTAAAACCTCTATTTTTTGCTGGCATTAAGGGTAGACGGTGTTACCATGTGTTATCCATGATGGTTCTATTTTTTTTTATTTAAGAAATTAAACACTCAGTCTGTCCTTAAGCCAACATTGAAAAGACTTGTCACACTTCTGAGTCCACACACTGGAAAGCTCTCACCTGCCACCATCACCTTGGGCCCCTGCTCATTCTCTGTATGACTTCACTCTTAAACCCCACGTCCCCTCCACACTCCCCTCCTCACCCCCCTTCTGCCCCCAGCCCCGCCTCCCTTTGTGGCAAGTCTAGAGCAGATGAATTTCTCTGGTAGAGAAAACACTGATGGCTTTTGTACTTCTTCCTGGGATTTTGTTGTTGTTGTTTTTTATTTTGGTTGGGGACGTTATTTTCAATAGAACTGATATGTAAGCACAAGACTTCAATAGTTTTCATAAGACATCTTTGCATAGCTATTTAATTGTCCAGTATAAACCTTCAGTTCCACTTCTACTGCTTTATTTTCTTTGTTTTTGAAGTATGAGTTTGTAGAGACGATGAATGTTATTGTGGCAAGGCCCCCCCCACCTCGAGACTTTTGTTGCAGAAGGTTAATGCTTCTAGTTGCCTTATCATGTTTCTTGCAAAATGCGGTGTTGGAAATGGTACGTTTAGGGAGCAGGGCTTTCCTCCCTGGCAGCATGTGACAGAACTGAGTCCTGAGTCCGGAGAACTGCATCGGGGCCAGACACACCCGGGAGGAGGAGGAGAGGCCTGCAGGAGTCAAGAGTTTGTAAATATCTCCTAATGCTTTTAGGTTTTTTTTTTATGTTGCAGAAGTTCATGGTACATAGTTTAATGCAAAATGAAACCATTTTATTTCAATGTTATTAAAAGTTTTGTTTTATTAGGAAGTAAATATATTGTTGCAGTGTTTTGTGCCTGTTTAAAGGCTTTTGCTTAGCAGAGTGAATGTAAAATACAGTAAAACATTAAGATTGTCATCTACTTTATGAAATACATCAACTTGGAACTTTTTTAAAGGCTTGAGCAAGGAAGTGAGGTGTGCAATAGATAGCCGGAAACACAGTTGTGTTTTTATGTCATGTTATCGATCCATGAAATCTTTCCACTCACTGCATTTTTGCTGATGGCTGAATTCTTATTTGTGGATTAGTAATAGGATCATGCCTCTAGCAAATATTTTAGTTTTGTCTTTTAAATTCTAAATGAAGAGATTCCCAAATGCCCCACCCCCACCAGCTGAGGGTGGGATGAAATTTTTATATATATAAGCAATATTTATTTATTGTGTAAAATTATCGAGTGCCTGCAAAGACCTTTAAACATTCCGAACATTGCTTTCCACCCTTGTTAAATGACATTGAGTAGCTGTGCGATGTTCCCGAGGATGTCCCAGCAAGCTGCATCGAATCTGTGGGGATGAAGAATCCAACAGAATTCAATTTGGACCAGATCCTCACCTCTCGACTTTGTGTGAAAGAAGTGACCTCTTTCCAGTGTAGGACTGTCACAGTGTCACTGGGAGAGACTCGGACCCAGTGGTCTCACTGTATTTTACATGTGCCTGTAAATTATTGGGGGGGTGGTAAAAAAGGAAAAGAAAAACAGTATTTTTCTTTTCTTTTAACCCCCCAAATAATTTTTTTCTTTTCTTTTTATTCCCCATCAACTTCCCCATAGTTGGGGCAGGGGGAGTAAAAAGGAAAAACATCTTAATGTGGCAAATACCAAACTACCTTACAAACAAATGCTGGTGACCACTAGCTGTCAGCAAGCCTTTTTTAAAAAATATTTTATTTCTATTTTAATTGTTGTTCAAGTACAGTTTTCTGTCTTTTACTCCTATCCCAGCCCACCCCCACAGTGCTCCCCACCTCCCTCCCATTTCCACCCTCCTAGTTTTTGTCCATGTGTCCTTCATACTTGTTCCTGTAAACCCTTCCCCTTTTCCCCTGAAATTCACTCCCCTCTGCTCACTGTCAGCCTGTTCTCTATTTCAGTGTCTTTGGTTATATTTTGCTCATTTGTTTTGTTGTTTAGGATCCTGTTAAAGGTGAGATCATATGGTATTTGTCTTTTACCGCCTGGCTTATTTCGTTTAGCACAATGCTTTCCAGTCCCATCAATGAGCCTTTTCATTATTTCTATCTCAAACCCATTTCACATACACTACTGAGGGAAGTTGATAACTTGAAATGTGAACTTTTTTTTAGGGTTAAGAACAAACTATATAAATGTTTTAAAAAAACTTTAAGAGTTCTGTTTTCAAACATGCTAGCAGTTTAGTTGTCTTTAGTTGCTTTGTATTTGAAAAGACTTTAAATTTATTTAGATCTTGCTCCATTTACAACACATTCTTAGGTTGTATGTAGTAAATAAAGCTCTTTAAAGCAGTTTCAAGCCCTTATTTTAAATTGTGTTTTCTTTATACTGATTTTTTTCTCACGAAATTAGAAAAACTATTAACAGCATAGAAGAAATGAACTAATTCAATATTTTCAGCTGGAGAAGCCAGCAAGTTGCTATCATGGGTTTTGGTTTGCAATCACTACTGAAAGTGGGATACATAGTTACAAATTGCAAAGTATTACTGTCTTAAACTTGAGCTCAGGTGGTTGAAAGTTCAATACCCAAATCTCACTCAGCATCGGACTGAATAGCACGTGGCAAAGCTTGTCACGGCCGACGTGACTTCAGTGTGTTTTTGATCCCAGCCGCCCTACACTCCCGCTGAAAGGAGGCGATCGATGTGACCCGGAGCAGTTTGGTGGCTTCGTGAAGGGCGGGGGTGGCCTGCGTGTCAGTCACTGCATCGGAAGCCACAGCTCTCTGTTTCTCCTTTGCACAGGGGACAGCAGAGTCAGCAGGACACTTCCTTCCCTTTTCTGTGAAGTTCAGCACTGACTTCAGGCCGCGTCCGTTAGCAAAGCCGACCAGTGGTTCAAAGGAAAGCGATGGGCTGTTGATAGAATTACTTCTCCTGAAAGTTGCCCCATGTGGTTTTGCCATTAAGATTAAGAATTTTACCTTCTGAGACTTGAGCTGCCCGAGTTATTTATGTATGGCCTCCCCACCAGCATTCCTTACAATTCCTCTTAAAAATATAAAGGCCTTTTTAGAGGCAGAAGAGGCCGGGAAAGTTGCCCAGATGACAGATCACTAGGCAGTATTTTCAAGGGCAAAAAAATCTGATTCCCTCTTGTCCTGGGAGACAAGTACAGATGCCCTTCAAGTTGCAGAGTCATGGAGTTTGATTGATCTCATCAGAAAAAGAACTAAGAATCCTAGAAAACGCATATGCACTCTACTATGTGCCAGGCCTTGTTCTAGGTGCAGCGGTGGCTACCGCAGGAACAAAACCGATGAACTCTTGCTCACATGTGGAGCTCACATTCCAGCGGGAGAACTCAGACGCAAGGAGCAGGTAAACAGCACGTCAGGTGGGGATGAATGCTACAATTACGTCATTCATTATGCTTCTTGGCTCAGGTGGGTCTCGCAGTAACCCAGCGAAGTAGGCAGGGCGATGATGTGACTGGCCAAGGTCACACAGCTGGCGACAGCCTGCACTGGGATCTGTGCTCAGACTCAATTCCCAGGTTTTTTCTAACAACACACCTGCCCTGGAAACAGACAAAACTGGTCATGCCAATGACCTACTTCAGAGCCCCCCAAAAAGAGAAGGAAAGCTTTTCTACGAGAGTAGGGTCTTTTTGGTGAAAAACTGTGTTTTCATATGCAACCTCCTTTCTTGGGAGATGGGAACTAAGGTAGGATGGCTGAACATGCCTACTTTCAGCATGGAAGACGGCACAGCTGTGAGCGAGGCCGCCGAACACGTACCCTCCGGGGGCGTGAGGAGTTCCATCCACAGGCCGTCCCTGGGGACGGGGGCGGCTCCAGGGCCACCGGTGGGAAGATAACTGTACCCTCTGCTTCTTCACTAAAATAGGCGCCCCACTTTTTTATTCCAAAAATAGCTATTCTGACAACATACATAAGCACTTATTTAGTTGAAAGTCAGAAACATTAGAAAACTAGGTTTTGATTTTTTTTTCTTTTCTAGTGAAAAATAATCTCACGGACAGTCCAACCTGCTGTGGTAGCTGTACTTTGTTAGCTGTAACTGACCTCACTGGCTTATCAGGCCCTGTTTGAAAAGCATTGGGGTATTTGACATTTTAAAAGAAATATATAGTACTTCAAGTATTATGTGATACTATCTTTTTTGTAGTCTTGTGGGTGCTCAGCCTTTATATCAGAATTTTTTTAACACAAAATGTGGCATGGCTGTTTTGATGAAATGACATTTTGACATCATGACCCTAAATAAATATATACATCTTTAGTTTTAAAAAAAGATTACTGGGTAAGATGATACAGATATACCCACTTGATCCTTGTCCTGCCACATCCTTGACACATTCCACATCTCTGACCACCCAAGGTTAAGGGCAGGATTAGGTTTAAATACAGAATGAGACTCAGGAGATACCCACAGTGTTTTGCTAATTCCAAATACTAAGCTATCAGATTGGACACAGCCTTTTCTTTGCCCTCTTTCCCCCTCATTAGTTTAACCTATTTCCTAACTGCTGTACAAATAAACCCGGGGGGGAAAATGTGCTCAAACACTTACCTCTGTGAGCAAACACCATGGCCTAGTGGAACAAGGTTGGATTTGCAGTCAGGGTACTCCGGAGGTAAACCCCACCTTTGCCACTTCCCAGCCATGTGACCCTGGAGAAGACTTTTTGCTCATCTGAGCACCAGTTCCTTAATTGGTAGAGATCATAATCCCGACCTCAGAAGGTTATTGTGGGAGTCAGATGAGTTAATGCATCATTTAAAAGCCTAGTATGTTCCAGGTCCTCAAAACATAGGTTCCTTTCCCTTCTTTATAGACTGTAGTGTGACTGCGTTCTGCTACAGTAACTCCATCAAGCCTTTTAGTTTTATGCCTTTTTATTTCTTTTGTTTCCATTTATTCAATAAACATTGTTGAATGCCAGCTGTGTGCAGACCCTTGGTATGAGGCACTGGAGAAAGTGATCAACAAAATCAACCTCGCTGCCCTCCCGAAACCCCCAGGTGTGCTAAGACGACGTTGCAAATGCCATGCCACGATAGGGGACACCCACACAGGCTTGCCCAAGGGTTAAGAAAGATTTGGGGAAGTGGCATCTGTGCCAAGATCTAGAGGATGAGTGGGAGTTAGGGCAGATAAGCAGGAAAGAGCGCAAACAAAAGGTGCCAGGTCCAGAAGAAAGCACGTGGTGTATTCAAACCCCTGAAAAAAACTGTGCCTGCCTTGAAGGAGAAAGAGAGGGCGTGGAGTGGAGAAACGCAACCTTTGTTCCGTTCGATATTAAATCTGGTTCATAGGCTTGGGTTAACTGTGGAACAAAGAGAATCAGTCCCTATAACAGGGAAGTGGGAAGAACCCTAAATCGTTTCCCCTTAGGACTTGGAGTTTCTTTCAGAAAATGGCAGAGCTCAGCGTTCATCTCAGCTGCAGAAGCTGAGGGATTGTCTAGCAATCCACAGAGCGTGCATCTGAGTGCTCCCCCTAGCGGGCAACTCCCTCCCGTCCGCTTTCCTGGCCCCAGGTGATGCCCACCTGATCTTGTGAGGGGCAGTTGGTAGGGGCAGCCAAGGCTCTTCTGGTTCCCACACCTTCCTTCCTTTAAATCCAGGTTTCAGCCTCGGGTAGCAGCTACCTCTGTTGGCCAGGGTGTTCCCACTCTCCCCCTGGTACCCCTACAGGAATGCAGGCACCTTGGCAAAGGTGATGGAGACCTACAGTCCACCCCATGACCATGAGGGCAGGGGAGGGTCCCAAGCAAAATCTCCAGAGAAGCACCAGCTTCCTCAGTGGGATTATATCTCCTCGCGACTCCATCCCACACAATTACACCAACAGTCGAAAGCAACACCAAACCCTGCATTTGCAAGAAATATGACCTTTCCTTAGCTAATTTTTAGCTACCCTTCTTTCTTGGCTTGCTCTACTTTGTTTGTCAAAAATCTTCGTTAATGATTAACCAAGCACGAGGTTTCAACAGTCCTTAGTCATTCTGAAGCAGGCAAGACAAGTTGCCAAAGCTCAACTGTTTCTGTGACCTTGCTGGGGCTGCGGGGTCAAGACATTTTGAGTTCATGGTATTATGATAACGCCGGGCCAGACAAATTTGGTTTTGCTGGGATTTTCCCTCTCCTTTTCCACAACCCAAATTCCGAATGGTGGTGGTACCAGGGAATGGGCTTTCCACCAGCCTCCCCTCCATCCCGATTCGGGCAGGGTCACTGACACTTTCTCAATCGTGCAAAATTAGCTTCCTGACAGGCCCCTAAGCTCCTTTTCCCAAATAAGATGTTCCGCAAAGAAGAGAAATTCTGGAAATGCAACTGATCTAAATTATACAAGGACATGTTCTAGCAGAAGAGACAGTAACAAAAATAACGCCAGAGTTGAACATGGGGATGAAGGGTATACTATAATCCATCCATTTTGTAAGGACTTAAAGTCATTTGTGTGTTCTAGAAGTTACACTGATCTCCTAAAAGAGTCACTTCACCATAAAGGTCATTGGCAAGGAGAGGGAAAGAGAACGTGGCAGAACATGGGCCTCCAAACCTGGAGTGTTGAGGAAAACAGATGCTTTTTGCTGGTGGTGTCCAAATCTCTTGTACTCTCATGTCCCATTATTAAACTTTGCTCTCAGGAAAGGAAGGAATGAACTAATTCACACTGAGGTGAGTTACACGCTTTTTTTCACTAAGTCCCATATTCAATGAACTGAGGAATAAAGCCCTGATTTTGGAATTTAAGGCCATAGCCAATGAAGTAAAGAGAATTGCTTCACGGGCCAGGAGGTCCTCCACCCGATGTGACGGTGTACCACACACGCAGCCCGCTTGGGAGCTCCGCTGGGGGCTTCTGGGTTTCCAGGGGCCATGTAAGCAGGCCCTCTGGAGAGTTCATTAACCATGTTAACAAGCTGTGTCCCCAATATGGGACATACTGAATAAAATCCAGGAAGGACACCAATCAGGAGACTTCCCTTATCCTAAAACATATCGATAGCTTACTTACCTCTGAATAGGTTTCACTGTCCCCCAAGGCTTTCTTCATCTCTGTCTGGTGACAATCCTCCAGACAATGACAGAAGGCATTCTGCTGCTCTCCCCCCTCCTCATCATTTAGCCACTCATTGTTTATTCATCAGCATCTTCTCTGAGCTTCTACTGTGTGTCAGGTGAGAGTGGGCTAGACTACAGCTCTGGCAATGGTTAAAGATGGAATGGACTCGGGGGGTGTTAAAGTCCATAAATGCTAGTGACTAGCTGCTTGTGGGGGGCAAAAGGAAGCGAAGAGTGACTTCCAAGTATCTGGCCTGTCTA